TCAATCATGTTTAAAGGCACTAAACCACAGAATACGATTTGCTAGGCTGGGGGTGGGGATTCTTAGGGAAGGACACAGCACTGAGACCTTCAGTCTGATTAACATGGCTCTTATTTCTTTGGTTATAAGTCTCACAAATGCAGCAATAACTCTCTACTCTGCATCATGGAAGCCTTCTCTAACCACTGATGTCACCCACAGACACACACACACTCCCACAACTCCCACACCCATTTCTCTCTCTCGTTTTTCTCACACACTTCTTCATAACAGCCACAGATTAGACAGTTAAAATCATCTAGCAGAGGAGACATGATGCGTTGCTATACAAAAGTCAGCGGAAGGCTAAATTAGGGGTATGATTAAAGGATAAAGACATTGTGGGCTCCACACAGTCCCCAGGTCACCTGGTGAATGCCACTGTGTTGTTTTACATTATATCTTTGACATAACTTATAATATTGAAAACCAGTGCAAAAAAAAACCAACAACCCAAATGCCTAAGGCCCGCAGGTGAATCCCTCATATGCTTCGTTGCATCCGGCACCTGTTATGCATGTCTGAGAAGCCAGCTTTCGGAAACTTCTAGAAACAGCAGTTCTTCATTTGAGTAAAAAGAGGCAGGCGAAGCAGGTTCACGCATTCCGGAGTGTGTAGCTTTTACCTCACGTGGGTTGAAACGTCCTACATATATTTATAGATTTACCTAGCAGCTGAGTTATGTGGAAGAAATCTACTAAAAATGCAATTTTCCCAAAAGGCCTAAGTCCTGCACAGCCTTCCAAAAAGATAGATTGTGCAAATAATGCCCCCCAGTCCATTTAGGCAGTCTATGTGAATGGTTATGCTTGGTATTGGGGGTGCTGATCTTTTCAAACGTTCGCGTGTCCTAGACTATCCACTTTCTTCTTGCAGAATGTTGAACGCTCTGAGAGAGCCCCACTGCTGGAGTGTTCGGTTCCAGAAAGTACAGTGTGTATTTCTAGAGAGGTCCATTCTACAAAGATGAGAATGAGAAATGTCTCTTTTGGGAGGAAACAAGTTCCTATGTTCTCTTGGCAGTCTGTGTGCTGACCGCGGTTTTCTTTACAGTACTTGAGGTTGGCAGTGCCTTGACTTTGGGGGCTGCTGGCTTCCTCTGCTTCTGACCGCTGGCTTGAAGGGGTTTCAGTCCCAGCATCTCACAGTATTTATTACATAGGTGGAGGACCTTGAACTGTTCAATAAACGAGATGGAGCAGTTACCTTTGAAACCTTTGTACCTGAAGAAGAAGACAGACAGACAGGATTGAAACTTTTTGGTTTCTAAGAGAAATAGGCTACACCTCAATTGCTTTAGCTGAGATTCCTGAATTGCAGGGGGCTGGACTAGATGACCCTCAATGTCCCTTTCAGCTCTACAATTCTATGATTCTATGAAAATGACCAGCTTAACATCTAGCCTCAGCAAAATACAATGGCATGTAGTAAAGGAGATTACAATCGGCACCATCGTCTATAGTAGAGGTAGCTAACCTTTTTGGAGCGCCAAGGGCCAAACTGACCCACTGTCAACCCTTGGAGGGCTGTATGTCAAAGTGGGAGTAGACAAAGTGCTAAAGTAGGCATGGCAAGTACTGAAGTTCTCAAGACAGCCTTCCAAAAGACATTAATCCAGTGGGAGAGATTTAAACATGACCTTCATTCTTTCATTGAAATTAAAGGATTTCATGCACTTACACTTGATAAATTGTGTCCTCTGCTTTCGAAAAGAAGGAAAGGTGAAAAAGAGACTCAGGATCTCTCTCCCCCCCCCCCCACTGTACTTATGCAGAACTGCACAGACAACATGAGGGATTGTTGCTCACATAACCACAAATAATAGTTTGCCTTTCATTAAAAGCAGTATGTATTTGTTTATACCTATACCAGTGTTTAACTTTAAATAAATAACTTTACAGATATCTTACAAGAGCTGAACATTCATTTATTCATTCATGTCCTGCCATTCCTCCTGAAGGAGCCCAGTTTGGGAGATCAAAAGTGCATTTGTAAAGCCCCCAGTTCAAACTGAATCATGCTGCAGAATCGCTGCTTGCTCCTTTCTAGAGTTCAACCCAGGTTAGAAAACCTCACCCTGATTATCTCCTTTTTCTTTTCTTCCTCTTTTTTTTGGGGGGAGGGGAGTAGTTCAGGTACATTCACCTGACAGAATCAGAGGAAACAGCACAATGATATGAGGGGAACTGTATAAAATATTATTCTGCATCATGACTGAGGGTGCCATATAATCCTTACAGGTTTTTTATGGTGTTAACAACTGCGAGGAATTCTCATCTCTGTTCAGCTTGCCTGCCTGGTTTTAGTAAAAATGCTAAGAGTTCCCACCCCCCCCATGTTTTATTTCCTTGGGTAGGACAGGCCTGTCATTTTGAACAGCCTTTACTGAATGCAGTTCACCCTAGGAGCTGTCAGTGACAAGGGATCTGCAAATACCCATGCGTGCCCATGGATTCCTCTACCTCCAACCTCAGCCCCAATTATAATAAACAACCTCTTAAACTTTAACATTTTAAAAGCAGTGAATACGCCTCCCTTCCATTCTCTTGAACGCCGACTGGAAAGGCTTCGGCATCAAAAGTCGTGATTCCTGAGCATCTGTAATCCTGTGCAGTGAAAAGCCACTTAGAAACACATCCTTATGCCAGACCATGATGGAACATGTAATTCCACCCTGGAATTGGAAACGGCTCTTTGACTGATTGCACAGATCTTAATGTTTTTCAAACATACCTTCAGCGTAATGCATTTTATAGGCTCTGCTGCTTTTCTTGCACTCCCACACACGTTTGGTGATGATCTTAGCGATGATGACGCTGATGTGAAGCTATTACCGGTGCTGATTGAAAGCCTAAACCATTTTCTGACGCTCCCATCCAGAGCGCGTGAGTCTGTAATGTACAGCCACAACCCCCCAAAAAGGCTATTTCAAGAGCTGGAAATGGGGCAGAAGAGGGTGACCAAATAGATCAAGGGGCTTGAGCAACACTCCTCTGCAAAAAATGGTTGCAATGTATGGCTTCTTTATAGCTCGGGGGTGGGGAGGGAAAAGGGGAGAACACAGCAGAGGTGTACAAAATTAAGCACAGTGCAGACAAAACAGATAGAGGGTTCTCCTCTCCCCAGCAGATAGAGGGTTCTCCTCTCCCCCCTCATAATGCTATAGCCCAATAGGGTCATCCAACAAAACCAAATGTTGTGAGATTCAGGATGGACAAAGAGGAATGACTTATTCACTCAGCACACAGTTAAATCTGTGGGCATCGCTACCACAAGATACAGTGATGGCCATCAACCAGGTGATTAGGCACATTCCTGCAGGGTAAGGATATCAGTGGTCATGTGCAATGATGGCTGTGTATTATGTCATGATGGAGGCAGCATATGTACCTTAGAGATGGAGGAGGAACCCACAGATTCCCAATCAGACCCACCCACGCCAACCTATGTTGACCCTTTAGTCCCCCTTAGAATCAGCAGCCATGAGGAAAACCAGCACTGCTTCTATTTTTAAAGAACCTTCCCCACCCGCCATTTTATAATGCTCCATCCACTCAAAGCCTGCAGTAGCTGGTGTGCAGGTCTTTTGTTGCTTTGAATCAGATAAAGTAAGTCCTCATAGAAGGGACAGAGCTTGATGGCATTCCCTTGCTCAAGAGGGAATTCTACAGGGGAAAACATGGCTGCCTCCCCCAGTTTTTCCCAGAGGGGCAGCCATGTTTGGTCCTTTATGACAAACAGCTGAAATACACTGTTTATTACCCCAGGCTTTTGCCATCTAGTCTTTTTAAGCTGCTTCTAAGAGACCACCCTCAACAACTCACTTTTCTGAGTTAGTGGCTCCTTCTTCTACATATCTATTAGAAATAGGAGTTACTGGTGCCAAAGGACCATCAGCGAGGCTCCTGGACTCTCATCACTAATAATTAGCCATAACCTGGCCCAACCTAGGCAAACATCATTCGGTTTTCACATTTATGGTCCCCAACTCATATTACCTCATGGTAATGAAGCCACGTGGCAGCTTCCCACATGATAAAGGTAATTTCAGGATCCCAGACCATGTGAAAGGAACCTCCTGCCACTCTGCGAGCGATAAATCAGTTTCCCGCAGGGGCAACACTGGTATGAAGAGAAACTGCACAGCAGTTGTCCCATGTATCCTGGGCTTCAGACATTAAATTTCAGGGCAAGCCCTACCATTAGGTAGACTGAGGCAGTTGCCTTTGATGGCCAGTGCAGGAGGCAGGAATTAGTGCAAGGTGCTGGAGGGCAGAGTCGTGTGTGCCATGCCCTGTGCCCTTAATCTACTGCCCTCAAATGCAGTAGAAAATGCTGCCCTACTGATAGTGCTGTTGTTGTGTTTTTTTAATCAGTTGCTGGCCCAGTTAACCACTATATATGGAACAGTGGAGGCAGTCTTGTCCTTCACCTCAGACAGCAATATGTGTTGAGCCAAGACCTATAGGTGTTGTGAGATGGAGCCATGCTGCAGTGACTCCCATGTGAGAAGATGAGAGGCTATGGCTCCTCCAAAACCGTATCAGAAACTCACAGGCCCACATACTGTTTTAGTCACCAAGCCATTGTAACCATGTTAAAAAGGGGTGGCCAGAAACACCGGCCTTTTGTTTCTGTTTCTGTTTTGTTTTTTGGCAAAGGAAAATGTTATTCATTTCCAGCCTTTCACGTTCAGCCCAAGTTTTGCTTTAGCACTTGCAAAGCTGTCTGCTGGCCACGCTCTACCTTTTGTTTAGGCCTAGCAGAGTGGGCTTGATTAAATATTTGATTAAGAAAGGCTAATTTCATTGGCTTAGATTCTCCCTTCCTCCAGAGGACTGAACGGGGATTTTTTAAAAGTTTGTGTGTATGAGAGAGAGGCAGAGAGAGTAAAGTGTGCCCTCTACTGAGTTGGAACTATATTGCAACCATTACTGTAACAAGAACATTGTGACGGGAAACTGACATTACTATTACGATTGCTATCATCTACTGTGAAGGCTGAAAGCGGGTTATAATAAAAATATAAAACTCACGAACGTTCAAGTAAGCAACTGAGGGAGGAAACCACAAGTAGAAGGATTAACAGAGCAATCTTCTACTCAAATGGTGCCAGGCCCGGAGGAGCTATATGCTGCTCCTATGTGAGCAGGAAGGCCACCCTAGGACACTGTGCTGCCTGAGGTGAAGGTCAAGATGGTGCCTCCTCTTCATCCCATGTTCAGATGCCAACTGGTCTGGCAGGTTAATTCTTATTTCAAGACAGGGATAGTGTTCTCCAGTGGGATGGGTTAGGGCCCCAGGACAGGGAGCTGTGTGCTATATGCAGCTCTGTTCACCAAAAGAGGATGTGGGGCTCAGGAGCAACAGCCAGAGGCCTACCACAGCTGCCTCTCATCACCTGCTGCCTGAGGCAGCCATCTCACTCTGCCTAATGGTAGGGCCAGCCCTGGTCAGTGGAATGGATGGAAGGGGGGGAAGACACAACCCAGAAAATACAGAGAGAGAGAGAGAGAGAGAGAGAGAGAGAGAGACAGAGAGAGAGAGAGAGAGAGACAGACAGAAGCATAAAAACAATAGGACTCCCTCAGTGTCTGCCTACCAATTCTGTTGAACAGCATCCCTGTTGAGACGTTTTTGCTTTGGCAAGCTTTGCTAGTGGGGTGAAAAGGTCTCTGTTTTAGGTCTTCATTTTGTTCTGTTTTTAAACCTACCCTCAACTGTGGTGTTGTTGTTTTTTGTACTATTTTAAACGGTATTTGCAGCTTTATTTTATGGCATGTTTATAAATAGTATTGAGACATATGGGGAAAGTGATTCAGAAATTAATAAATAGTAATCGGGAACTGTGTTTGCAATGATGCCCACATGCCTGCCCACACAAGGACGGAGCCAATAATAGGATAATAAACACACACACACACCAGCACATATGCTTCCCCACCCTCAGCACAGTCCTTCTTGCAACAGAGTTCAAGGGCCATTCAGGAAGGAAAATACTTTTTTTCACAAGTAGTCAAAAGGAAAGGCCAAGACGTGCAACAAGGGCAGCCATGGAAACATGTCAATTATCAGCAGCTACCTTTGTTGGCTCTGGTCTAGAAGCAGGAGATGCGAGGTTTAACCTCCCCCACCCCCAGGAGGAGATGGGGGAAATGGCCCCACTCACTTTTTGCATGCCTGGACAAAACACTCTATACTGCAAGTTCCGCAGAGTGGTTGCCTACCCTCTCAGCCACGTATCAGACATATAGGACATTTGCCTTCCCACAACCCTAAGATTCAATCACTGACACCAGGAGCACAAATGATGCAGGGGGAGCCAGGTGGAAAAGGCTCATGTTTCACATGCAGGAGAACCCAGACTCAAACCCAAAGTACAACCCTGCACTAATCAAGAGATGAGCACCTTCCCACCATCATTCAGACTCAGTTGACTGGATTAAGAGGGAGACTGCATGGGCCAAAAGCCAGGCTTTTGCAAAGTTCATGCCATGATGCACAAACAAAGGCTACAGTCGGCATCATCTGTAAGGTAAACGCAAAGGGAGCCCTGACCATTAGGTCCAGTCGTGGCCAACTCTGGGGTTGCAGCGCTCAGCTCACTTTATTAGCCGAGGGAGCCGGCATACAGCTTCCGGGTCATGTGGCCAGCATGACTAAGCTGCTTCTGGTGAACCAGAGCAGCGCACGGAAACACCGTTTACCTTTCCGCCAGAGTGGTACCTATTTATCTACTTGTACTTTGACGTGCTTTCAAACTGCTAGGTTGGCAGGAGCAGGGACCAAGCAACGGGAGCTCACCCCGTCGCGGGGATTCGAACCACCCACCTTCTGATCGGCAAGTCCTAGGCTCTGTGGTTTAACCTACAGCGCCACCCGCGTCTGGCATCATCTGTACCCTGCTCTTAATCTTAAGAGACATGCCACAAAATGAAAATACAACCCCAGAAGCTCAACACTGTACTTGCTAGAGGCTGACTGAGTATTACACAGTAATCAAATAGCCTCAGTTTTTTTAATTTTAAAAGTCAACTTCATCCTGTAAGAGCTGCTGAAGCAAGGAACTGTTTGATCAGAAAACTCCAGCACATCTTGCAAGATCTGCAACCAAATTTGGTGCTATTTGGTTTGCAAATTGCTACTTTGAAAATGGTTTCATTCAATTTCTGTTGTGTTTTCATATACGGATACCGTAATGCGAGTGGATTTGTCTCACCAGCATTATTCAAGGCATCGGGGACAGGAGAAGAGGTGTTTGCAAAGGGCTACAGATGGCGAGAGAACCATCAGCAAAGTAGGTTCCTTTAACATTGTTAAATATGATATGAGAGATAATTTATAGGTACTTGTGGCTGATATTCCCCACAGCTTCTTTCCACAAAAGTCAGTAAACGTCAAAATCCAGTATTCAATTGGGACAGGTGAATTAGCATAGCACTCAGCTCCTCAGGGAGGTCTGTTTCTCTTGAGACCAGTTTAGAAATCAGAGGTGTGTCACAGAGCTTATTGTGAGAATCACCACATAGGTGCACCTCATAGGAGGGTCCACAGCCAAGCTCCCAAGTGGAGTCTAAAAATGAAGGTATCTGTGTTGCTTTTATACACAGCGCAAGATATACACCAGTAAGGTTTAGACAATTTTATCCTGGTCAGTATGTGCACTGAATTAAAAATGTTTTTATATACAGTGGTACCTCGGAAGTCGAACAGAATCCGTTCCAGAAGTCCATTCAACTTCCAAAACATTTGGAAACCAAGGTGCCGGTTCCGATTGGCTGCAGGAAGTTCCTGCAGCCAATCGGAAGCCACGGAAGTCACATTGGACGTTCAGGTTCCAAAGAAGGTTCGCAAACTGGAACACTCACTTCCGGATTTGTGGCGTTCAGGAGCCAAAACATTCGACTCTCAACGTGTTCAACTGTATGAACATGTAGTAGTTTTTGATTGCTATACAGTGGTGCCTCGCAAGACGAAATTAATTCGTTCCGCAAGTCTCTTCGTCTTGCGGTTTTTTCGTCTTGCGATGCACGGTTTCCCATAGGAATGCATTGAAAATCAATTAATGCGTTCCTAGGGAAACCGCCTTCAGACCAGGTCCGGGGACAGACTGTCCCCGGACCTCTTCTGAAGGCTGGGGGGGGGGACAAGGGCTTTTCTTCCCACCCCCAGCATTTTAAAAAACCCTGGGACAGCGGAGGACTTCTCCGCTGTCCGGGCGATCTTAAAATGCTGGCGGGCGGCATTTTAAAATCGCCCCGGGACAGCGGAGGACTTCTCCGCTGTCCGGGGCGATTTAAAAGCCCCTGGGAAGGCAGGCAGGGGGGACAAAGACTTTCGCCCCCCGCCCGCCTTCAGAAGGTGTTCCCGCCCCCCCCCGCCCGGCTTCGCAGCAGCGCTACGAAGCCCGGCGGCTGGGGCAGGTGTTCCCGCCCCCCACCCGGCTTCGCAGCAGCGCTACGAAGCCCGGCGGCTGGGGCAGGTGTTCCCGCCCCCCCACCCCGCTTCGGAGCAGCGTTCCGAAGCGGGGTGGCTGGGGCAGGTGTTCCCGCCCCCCGCCCGGCTTCGCAGCAGCGCTATGAAGCCCGGTGGCTGGGGCAAGTGTTCCCGCCCCCCCACCCCGCTTCGGAGCAGCGTTCCGAAGCGGGGTGGCTGGGGCAGGTGTTCCCGCCCCCGCCCGGCTTCGCAGCAGCGCTACGAAGCCCGGCGGCTGGGGCAGGTGTTCCCGCCCCCCCACCCCGCTTCGGAGCAGCGTTCCGAAGTGGGGTGGCTGGGGCAGGTGTTCCCGCCCCCCGCCCGGCTTCGCAGCAGCGCTACGAAGCCCGGCGGCTGGGGCAGGTTTCCCGCCCCCCACCCCGCTTCGGAGCAGCGTTCCGAAGCGGGGTGGCTGGGGCAGGTGTTCCCGCCCCCCCGCCCGGCTTCGCAGCAGCGCGAAAAAGCCCGGCGGCTGGGGCAGGTGTTCCCGCCCCCCCACCCCGCTTCGGAGCAGCGTTCCGAAGCGGGGTGGCTGGGGCAGGTGTTCCCGCCCCCCCACCCCACTTCGGAGCACCGGGAGAAGCGATCTCCCCGCAGCCCCTTGCTTCAAAAGAGGTCCGGGGGCAGACCTCTTTTGAAGCAAGGGGCGGTGGGGAGAAGCGATCTCCCCGCCGCCCCTTGCTTCAAAAGAGAAGACCCGCTGTCCCCGGGGCAAGCTTCGTTTTGCGAAGCAAGCCCATAGGGAAATTCGTCTTGCGAGGCAACTCGAAAACGAAAAAACCTTTCGTTTTGCGAGTTTTTCGTCTCGCGAGGCGTTCGTCTTGCGGGGTACCACTGTATATATGCAATTGTTTTAACAGGTTTTTGTTAATATATGCAACATAGGAAATGAAATAAATAATAACATTTAAACCTGAGGAGTTTGCCAAAGCCAAAATCTCACTTGTATTTTTGCAATCCCTCTATTTAAATTTGAATGCATCCTCTGTTCAGTTTGGGTCACAGTTTGCATTCCTGCAATGTGAACAATTCTGCCATAAACTTTCTTTAAAACACACACACACAACTGTGGCTAAAATATTGCTGAGAACCAACAGCATTCTTTCCCAGTCAAGTAGTATCTTCCCATAATTCTTTTCGCTGTCTTAGGAAAAGATTAATGGGATTTGGCCATTGCAGGAAATATTGTGCAGAATATTAATCAGTGCGATCTTCTGCAACACATATTGTATGCTCATTAAAACCGTATATCGTCAAAAGGAAGAAAATAAATGGTCATGAATTATTCAAAGTGCTTTGCCTTAATGGCATTTTATAAACCTGTGAACTTACATCAAGACATTAGAGTATCTTTTCTCCCCACTCAAAATCTACCAAGAATACAAGGCAGATGAAAAAAAGGTAATGACCGCAAGAATTAAAAACATTCAACACTGGAAAAAATATGCACTGGGATAGTGAATTAAGTTTTTTTTAAAAGATTTCCTTGTTTACTTACTTTAAAAACAAAACAAAAAAACCAACAACTTATAACCTACTTAATTTTCATAATAAAGTTAAGTTGGCCAAAAAGAAATCAAAATGTCACAACAGTATTGAAATATATCGCAACCCTCAATTGGAACACAAAGTCTATATATTAGGAAGCCTGCCAATGGCTCCTAGTTACAATACCTCAGAGGCATTAAGGGAATCACAGGTAGGCAGAGTGCTGTTGTGCTGTGGCTCTCAGTAAGTGAGACTGAGAAGGTCTTCTGCCTGAAGTCTTGGACAGTTGCTGCATTAAGCAGGCCTGCCCCATCCACGAGACAAGGTGAGGCGACTGCCTCAGGCGGCAGGATCCACAGGGGCAGCAGATCTGGCTTCCAAGGAATGCACCACTTGGTGCTACTGTTGCCACGGTGGCAGCGACAGCTGCGGCACACTCATTGGAGGATGGATCTGTCTTCATCCCAGTAGCCCCGCCCCCCGCATTGCTGCCTCTGCAGTGGCCTCTCAGCAAATAGGGAACACTGTTGGTCTCCACACATCCTTGTTCCTGATGTAGATCTTCACACACCCCTTCTTCCCTGGGGGGCATTTTGTGGCTTGCGCAGGTGCCAAAATATCTTGGGCCAGCCCTGGCATTAAGTGAGTAATCCTCTCATAAGGAAAAGGTTGCACTACCATCAGAAAGGACTTAGGTCTCTAGTTGAATGGCTATCTTCCCTCCTCCTCTGTTGCTGTGTACTGTAGTTACGTGATGCAGTTACGTTATTCTGATAATTGGTTGCTTTGTGGTTTTTATGTTATGGTTGTAATTACACATTTTTTATTTATTTTAAATGTCTTTTTGTATCTTGCCCTGACACCATTTGATGAGTAGCTGGCTATAAATACAAATCCTAATAACTAACACTAATAAATATATAAACAAACGAGCAAACAAGAGACCACATTAGTCCACCATTACTCTTTTAAAAAATGCAGAAGTACATGCTGAAGGCAAGAAAACGGAAAGATCCTCTGTGGAATCATGTTGTTTTGCATTTCAGGTGGCTCCTAGTTTCTAACTATGTAGTTGATGGGTTGAATTTTCTTATCCACCCACCTCTGCTTTCACTTGCAAATTAGCATCGTGATTCTCAGTGATTTGCATGATATGGTACTCTGGGCAATTTATATTTAAAGACAAAGCAGACCATTCTGAGTAGGCTGCATTACATCATTGTTTCAGTTTCCTTCCAGCAATGTAAACATTTCCTTTTTCTTTCCTAGTACAGTACATTATTTTATTCTCTCCGCACCCAGCTAGTTTTTCTTGAAGAAAATATTCATAGCTACTATGGATCATTTAAAAATATATTTCCTATCTCTTTTCTTATCTAGAAGAATTTATGTTGAATACATCTTGTCCCCTATTTTACTTTTTTACAGCATGTATGCAAATTGCTGGACCTAAGCAGACTCTTGGAAGCATATAGAAGATGCATAAACTTTGATGAAGTCTTTTAGGAGTATCCAAAGCAAGGAAAGGATGAAATGAATTTCCCCAGGCAACTAGGGTTCTGAATCTTTCGCATAACATGCCAACTCTTGTTTAAATTCATAAAAATGTATTTTAAAAAACCCACCCACACAATTTGTTTTCATAGAATTCCAACAGATCATTTCTTGGTTTAATGGTTTGTTACCTTCACCCATCACTTCCCCCTTAATGCTTCCCTTTTATCAAGGAAGCTCTTGATTCACCCTGTACTGGCTAATGCAGCAAAACTGCATAAAGTATGTGGGTAGAGCTCAGTTTGTGCATTCTGTGCCAGTGAGGTCTGCACTGATATTAACTCTAATATTGTGAGCTCTACATTGGTGAGCCCTGATAATGGATTTGAGCAGAATAATACTACTATATCCTTTGGCTGCTGCTGCTACACACACACACACACACCCCTGTTAGGAAGAATGTTGGTTTGTTCCCAGATGGGTTAGGTAGAACATGATATTGTATGGGGGGGGGTGTCTGCAGTGTGTTTATCACTCCCTCTCCCAGAAGCAAACCAATGAGCCTTTTCAAAAGGAAGGTTCCATTAACATTTTATCCACCAGAAGAAGTCAGCAAGAAAGCCCTACTGAAATGCATTTTGCTTTTAAGAGCTGTGGCATAAAATGGATGCTGCGTGCTGCAACCTTCTCTATTAAGTTTGCAACATCACAAGGCTGAGACAACAATGGGGGGAAAAACCAGGTCATTAAAAAATGGCGCTGCTTCACTCACCCTTTGGCCTGTGTTGCTATGCCAACGTCGGTTAGTTTCATTCCTACACCTACAAAATAAAACAGCAAGCCGGGATCACACAGGGGTATTTCAGGTATAGAAAAGCTTTATATATTAATGCAGTTTTTCTTGGCTTCACTTGGCTTCACTGGTGATTACAGATGCTATCCATCACACTCTCTGTATATACTGTCACAAATATTTCATTTCTCCAAGGCAGGTTATTCATTCAGCACTGTCATTGAATATAGGTCTACTCTGGAGCATCTCTTCCTCTTAAGGCTTATCTACACCTTTTGCCCCACTACTGTGCCTCTTGATGAGCTGCTTCAGCTCAGGAAGACTTTTTGGATCTGACCCTCCACTCTTCATTCGGTTCTGGTGTCCCAATAAAGATCTGCAGTGGGGATCCTGAATCCGCAAAGATCACAACTCACAAGGTGGAATGCAGTTGAGTATTTATTTATTGCGTTTTTACTCTGCCCTTCCTCCAAGGAGATTCGACTGGGGCATATGGTTCTCTGCCTTCCTCTTTTTGTGTGAGATACCTAGATGAGGGTAAGACACAAGGGAACGGGCCAAGGTCACACAATGATCACTATGGCCAAGTGAGCTCCACAGAACTTCACCTCCTTCTGTTGCGATCACAGAAGTTGTCCCATGCATGGAATGATTTAGTTCAGAATAGTCCAATGCGTGGCTTGAGGGCCACACATGGCCCTCGGCAACATTTGACACGCACAGACCTCACACTGCCTTCCCAAAGCTGGGTAAGGAGGCACTGGGCTTTGGGAAGGAGGCATGAGGGCTCTGACAGGGTCCTAGAACCATTCCTCTTCCTTCCCAAAGCCTAGTTGCACTTTCCCAGCTTGGGGAAGAAGGTGGGAGGGCTATAGGACCCTCCCACCTCCTTCCCAAAGCCCAGCACCTCACTTAGGGGGCTATGGGAAGGCAGTGCAAGGACTGAGGATGTGCATCAAAGTTTGGCCTTGCTCCCCCACCCTCACACGACAAGGCAGTGTGCAGCTGCATTTTTTCCAGGTTGAAAATGGTGGCCCACTTGGTATGAAAAGTTGGACTGTGCTGATTTGGTTGGTCGCAAGCCATTGTGCCCATTGCAGCTCGGTGAGGCCTGCTCACAGGCAGAGAGGCACTGAAATCCTGCAGTTCCAACATTGCATTGCTGAAACCTCTTTTTTGCCAAAATGTGGCTAGTACAAGACACACTCAGTAATGCAGTTAGGTAATTTTAGAATGTGGACTTAACCATCTCAGAGCAGCCACAACATGGACTACAGCTGAATGTGGACCAGTCATTGCACGTTGGGGGAATGTGGGCATGCAAGTGGTTCCAGCCAAGCCCAATCACTGGCAGCAGCTTCAACTCAGCGGTGCCACAGGTGAGAATGGCTCTGTGAGCACACCAAAGAGAGTGCAGGCATTCCCAGGCCAGCCCATTCACTGCCAGTAGCCATAGGAGAGCAGCTCAGTCAACAACTGAAGCAGGAGCTCTCAGCCCAGCCCACTGTGCACAACCCAATTGCTGCCTGCACCAGTAAAACTTCTGCTGTGCTGGCAGAGGGCTTGTTTCCCTTGGGAGTACACCCAGCTGAGCTTGTGTGCCAAAGTCTGAACCTAACAATAAGACCTTGTGAAGAGTAACAGATGAGCTGAAATGAACACTGCACATTTCTTTTTTGAAAAAGAATCTATAATGCTTTCTATCCTCTTTTCAAACCGGTTACCAGCAGTGGGAAAATGTAGGAATTTCTTGCTGCATTTGTTATATTAGTTGAATATAGCACCATTGTGGAAGCTGAATACTTGCCACAGCAGGTAGATAATTCATTTCTTTCCTCTGACAGGAGGTAACACATTCTGAATAAAAAGCGCTGCAGCCTTGAGGAGGCTGGAGAAAAGGAAATATCCATAAATCTTTTGACAGGAGTTCTACTTTAGTCAGTGATGTACTGTACTTGCAGGCATCCAGCCTGCAGCAGCTACTGAAGGGGTGACCTGATCATGGGTTAGTCACACTTTCAGCTTACAAACCTCTACCCAACTTGGGCCCAGGGCAAGAGTCACAGGAAAAACCAGCTGAGCACCAACTGCAAACAATAGACTGTGGGAGGGAGGGTTACCAAACTCTTTGTTCTTCCATGTGAACCCGACCAGGAAGGTGAAGTGTAGGTGGGCTCCCAGGAGGCAGGACACAGCAAGAACCTTTATTGAACTACATAACTGGGAAACAAGGGACAAAGCAACTGCTTATATACATTCCTGAAAGCCCGGGCCACTCCCACTCCCAACGTGATGGGCTGTCTAAACTTCCAAACTGCGAATCACGTGGGTCACGTGATGTCTGACGTTTATAGAAGCTTCCAGGTTAAACTTAGTTACTGTTCTAAGTGCCACCCTCCATTGAGGGGGGGCTTCTCCCCACCATACAGAACAGCAAAACACACACACACACACACACACACACACAAATGGAACCTGCTCTGCTTCTGTGCTGGTCATAGAGCAGAGGAAGCTCCTTCCTTTGTAGCTTCAGGCCAACAAAAAAGGAATGCAGTGCTCTATCCCTTCTTTGACACCCAGATGGAATTTCAAGCTTTGGGAAGAATGCCTGAAGGTAGAAGAATTCACTTCCATGCTTGTGCACCCCTAATTTTCATCATACTACACAGGAGCAGCCCAGGTGTTGGGTGGAGCTGCAGAGAAGCCTCCCCAACACCAGCCTTTCTGCAGCTTATTTGGACAGGGCTGGGCAGTGGCAAGGTCTGAGCTGCATGGATACACTGGTGGAGCAGATCTATCCCTCCCACCAGTGTGGCTATGCAACCCTACCACTGCCATTCCACTCACCCATTGACACCAATGTTGGGAGGATGGCATTACTGATACCGCAGATATGGGGACGGGGCTTTGTCTGTGAGATGAATGGTTTGCCTGACGTCAGCCAGTGAACCTCTGGCTGAAGTGAGGCTTGAACCAGGGACGTTATCGCTCACTTGTCAGCTGCTACACTTCCATGAGCTTGACATCTAACACGGCCATGTAGTGATGAGATGCTCACCTTGCATATCTGTTACAAGCAAGCTGCCACTGGTTCTCTCGTACACCCAGTGCTGAAAGGTGCAACATTTCTGGCCAGCTTCCGAGTCTCTTCGCAGGAAGTTTATTTCTTTCCCATCCCTGATGGAGTATTTCACGAATTCTCCAATCAGCTCCTCTTCCACGGTCGCATAAGGGACGTTGTTCTTGGGCCGATGAACAAGGAAAATAGGAATGATTCTAAAATAATAAATAAGACAATGACACATTATAATCCTAGGCAGCGCTTAAGGCTGCACTCATGAGTCCATGCAGACTGCTGTATTTTTTTCTGTATGTTCTCTCTGAGACTGATGGCACATTATAAAATGCTGTCACTCCTGGGGGAACTGCTGTAAGATTTTCAACACGTGTAAAAGGAACACTAAAGGGGCATGAGGGGGAGACCACATCAGGATTATGGTTAAATCAACTACATCTGTGTGGATTTTCCCTTTAAAAAAAACACCTCTGCATGGAAATGGAAAGGGAACTTACCAGTCAACAGATGAAAAACAGAAATGAACTAGATAAAGGCCATTCCACCCACCCCTAGTTCTTTGTAACATATAGTTTTCAGCTTCAGAAAAGTAGTCTGTGATAACTTCGATTTAAAAAAATAAAGAAACACACCCAAGGAAGAAAAGTGTTTGGAGAGGTCAGGAGGGACTTGTTTTTAGGAAGTGCTGGAACAGGATTCTTTAGCAAATTACTGCAGCGTTTTTGAGCTGGGTTTCCGCTTGGAAAATCCTTCATAGATATGAGTACAGCTGTTGTGATGTGTAAATAAGAGCCCTAAAGCTATTCCATCATCGCCTCCAGAGCTCAGGCCCAGCACAGTGTGCTCAGATGTGCTGCTTGCATCTTCCCTTTACATTTTCCAGAGGCGACTTCTATTTTTAACTCTGCACTTTCACCTTGTTTGAACCAATATTTTTTTACTGCAGATCTAGAAATGAAGTGGCAGCCCTGCTGAACAGAGAGAGTCGATGCACACAACCAGGACAAACTGTCTCTCTCTTTCTTTGCATTATTGTTGGCATCGGTGTGTCTCAAGAGACAATGGAAGAATGCAAGGGTAAAGTGAAACCATTGGGAGAGTTACAATGCCTGCTGTGTCAGTGGAGGAATGACATGTTTTATTGCAGATGGAGCAGGTGAAGGCGTCTG